ATTCTCGTTGAATTATGCCATATATTTATTAATTTGTGACGTGGTTAAGACAGAGTGGTTGTATATTCTCGTTGAATTATGCCATATATTTATTAATTTGTGACGGGGTTAAGACAGAGTGGTTGTATATTCTCGTTGAATTATGCCATATATTTATTAATTTCTGACGTGGTTAAGACAAAATGGATGTATAGTCTCGATGAATTATACTATATATTTATTAATTTGTGACGTGGTTAAGACAAAATGGATGTAGATTCCCGTTGAATTATACCATGTATTTATTAATTTGAGACGTGGTTAAGACAATATGGTTGTATATTCTCGTTGAATTATACCATATATTTATTAATTTGTGACGTGGTTAAGACAAAATGGATGTAGATTCCCGTTGAATTATACCATGTATTTATTAATTTGAAAGAGTTTCAGCGAACTTCAATTCATTAGGAAAGTTTGATTGCTTGTTGAATATCGCGCAAACCTACTCGAAGGCTATCTGCGCTAGCCATCTCTAATTTGCAAGTGATATACAAGAGGGAAGGCAGCTAGTCAACACAACCCATCGCCAACTCTTGGACTACGCTTTACGCACGAAAAGTGGGATTGATCTTCCCATTATACCACCTCCACGGCTGAAAGATCTAGCATGTTTGGTGCCGGGGTTCGATCCCGTGATCCACAGCTTGCATCTCGAGCGCCTTAACCACCAGGCCAAGCCATTATGAAGGAGGAACACATTTATGTAAGAAGTTTGAGGAGCAGTTACCACGCTGTAAAACGTATAGATATAATATGACGTGACAGTTGAGCAAGAAAACAATTCCTGTTGGATCATATAGACGTGCCAAGAAGTCAAATGTTACAAAGAAGAACTATAAATGTGGTAAAAGAACATGAAAGAATGGAACGGCAAACAATTTCTTTTCGTCCATATAATTCTGAGATGCAAACGAACGTGACAAATAAGCAAAGTAAACAAGTTATTTTGGGCAGTATAACAACAATTACGTGCAAAAACGTGACAAATAAGCAAAGTAAACAAGTTCTGTTGGATAGTATAAGAATTATTACGTGCAGAAACGTGACAAATAAGCAAAGTAAACAAGTTTTTTGGGCAGTATAACAACTATTAGGTGCAAAAACGTGACAAATAAGCAATATAAACAAGTTATGTTGGACAGTATAATAACTATTACGTGAAAAACGTGAGAAATAAGCGAAGTAAGTGGGCAGTATAACAATTTTTTCGTGCAAAAATATGACATTAAGCAAATTAAACAAGTTCTGTTGGACAGTATAACAACTATTAGGTGCAAAAACGTGACAAATAAGCACGGTAAACAAAGTACTGTCAGAGCTCATAAATTCCTGTGATTTGAAGAAACGTATTGCTTAACTCCAGAATATCAACCGACGTGACACACAAATTGAAGCACAATCCCAACTCCCAAAAGCATTGTCCTTTGTGTTTCTTATAAATCTTTTGTTGTTTTTTTTTTCATTATTATCACTCACATGCCAAACCTTCTTTGTTCGTCAGTTATAACCCCTCAATTTTACTCTTACTGATCAAAACTTCGAAGTTGAGCCTGACTACTTATATCAATGAAACAATACATAAGTCGTGAAACTTAGATTTTCTGAAGTTCCTTAATCATCTCTATGAAAGAAATGGAACTTCGTGTAAGCGAAGTTTAAATTGGATGTTTTTATTGAATTTTTCCATGTTTGAAGAATCAATAACATATTTAAAATATCCAAAGCTGATTTATAAATAGACTTGTGAATATGGAATCTGAGCTTAATAGTATTCGTTGGCCTACAGATGTTAACGTTAAAGGTTGCATTTTTATCATCACCAAAGTTGTAAAAATCTC